AATATTTAAAGGCATATTATACTTTTTATTTAATTTATATTAGAAAGAAACATTTTTTATTTATAAAAATATATATACACATATATATATATATATATATATATATATATATATATGTATATATATGTTAGACATAAAGCTAAAAAAACGTGGATTGTGTCGATTAATTAATTAATTGTTTTATTTAATTATCAATTTATATATATATATTAACAATATTATTAACAATGATTTTTTGTTTACTTAAACTTTATAAGGTTGTACATAAGAAACAATCTTTTTTATTTAGTATTTCAAGCATATTTTCATAGAACTTTAATTTAATTATTATATTATTGAACAAAAATATTGATAAAAATATTGAACAAAATAAAGAATTAAAGCTAGCTTTCTCTGTAGTCTCATGACAGATTATATCAGTAATCATACTTTAATTATTGCAATATATCATGAAACAAATCAATCTCAAAATAATAAAAATATTTGCAGAAATATCAACAATTTGCAGATGAAAAATGATAGCATTTAGTCAAAGTTAAATCAGAAAATGGGAATTATCCAGTAATACTTGTTTCACCAGCGCAAATCAGAAAACCAGAAGTACCGTCAATGAGTCTCTCGATTTTATGCAGTATGTAATGGATAAAAGAATGGTGTTGAAAAAGAAGAAATTACTGCCATTCTTTACTAAACTTCCGTCTTACAAAAGAAAATTGGAATGTTGGATTTGAACGAACGAGAAACTCCGATGAAACGAAAATACAATTGTTAGCGAAATATGGAAAATTGCATTTTCTGACAAAAAAATATCCAGAGGCACAAATATTTTACTTTTATGTATAAACGTTTCACAAAATAAAATCTTTATAAATGAAGCGTTACATTAGAAATATTAGTATAAAATTAAATATCCATGTGAGATTTAAAATTTTTTGTCCTTTTTTTTCTTTGGAATTTTTTGTACTTTTTTTACTAAAGATTCTTTAAGCGAGAACTGCTTCTTTCGCAAGACTATTGAACAATTTGAATATTTGATGTTTTTTTAGTAGTCTAAATTTCGTGAAAAAATTCGAGAGAAAATTAAATTTTATCGTATTACTGCACATATCAATTAAATGCTATATCAAATATGTAGTGTAAATATTTTAATTTTTTCGTATACGATCTATTTTTTATAATTTTTTCGTATACGATCTATTTTTTATAATTTTTTCGTATACGATCTATCTTTTATTCTATCGATGTTTTCATAGTGATGCACCTTGAGCATTTTACTTCATATATTTGCAGTAAAAATATATTAAAGCAAATTATTTTGCAAATTTATTATTCTAATTTTTATTTAGAAAGAATAAGATTTAAAAAGACGTATGAATTTTTTCAGATTTGTTTACATATTTCTATTGTAAAAAACGCATCAGATAAAACTGACTTTTCTGTACATTTTAAATGTGCCAAAAGATTTGCTCTTTATTCGACTTACTGCAATAATGTACACTAAAAATGACAGATCTATATTAAAAATGATAGATTAGTAGTATATTTAGTAGTTGGAAAGAAAGAGAGCAGAAATGAAAAGTGCATCTAGAGAATTTAAAAGAATAAAAAACAAATCTAAAAATAATACATAAAGATTAATATTATGTATTTTTTTCATGAGGAATGTGGAGCGCACGTTTATGCATTTATTTATTTAGATGAGATTTACTTTAGAGCACATTCAGTATTCAACTTTAATGTTATTTTCTCTTTCTTATGATATATAAGTATAACATAATTACCTGAAAATGCTATCATTTTTGTGTGCTTACAGTGATACAGAAGGAACATTACAAGTACTATATTTACAGATAACATCTGTATAATAAAAAAAGCACCAAAAGTCTAATGGTGAAAAAAGGGTAAATATTATAGACCAACATAAGTATCAATCAATTATTCCATCGCTCTGTTTCATTAGAGTTGCAATTTTCTTTTATAATATCATGAATATTATAAATAAGATAAAGATTTCAGTACGTTTCAAATAAATTTATATATTTTATGTATGTAATACTGCGCACACATATTAAAAGGTAATAATATCGCAGTTAATAAGATACAATCCTGGCAATGTAGCGATTTTTGGATTCTGAAAATAATTTAATTTGATTTATTTTTAAGAAATGCGCACAATACTTGAGAGCAAATTATTTTTGTGCCACGTATTACCTGTGTAAAATTCCACACACAGTATCATATTGTCTGCGGTATATGAAAAGCTTCATCGATGAAATAATGTGATAATACAATTGAGATATAAGCAAAATAATATAGTACTTGTAATGAATAACGTTAATGTGGAATACATAAATATTTTATATTTTAATTTTATGTAATCGAGATGAGATAAGACACTCATGATTACTTTAAAAATGTATCCACAAATATCATGTAACTTCAATAGCTGCACATTCGTCAAATTAATCCTATTACGTTAAATGAATCACAGCAGTGTTTGTTTTAATTTAATCTAACCTAATCAATTATATTATATGCTCCTCATTAAAATGTGTAAAACTGTACGTCGCACATTTAATACGATTAATATACTACGTAATAAAATGTAATACACTAATGAAATAATTAAATATTATTTTTAAAAGCATAATACAATCCAGGCAGCATATGCTTGTGTTTACATTCGATATCCAAAGACAGAGGTTAGGTTAGGTTAGGTTAGATCAAACAAATTTATCGTTTAACAGTTGGCAGCCCTACGAGATAGGCTGTGCAGCACTGCGCGCGCGTATACAAAATTCAAATAGCTTCTAGCATAACCATCTTCACGCGATCGACTTTATTTGAATTGCACCGAATCGAATTATGATGCAGCGCCGATTTATCCGAATGTAATTCGGGACATCGCGATGCTGTATAAGCGTCGAATGAGCACGAATTATCACGCAAATATGATAAATCAAATCTACTCACCGGCTGTTCCACAGGCCGCTCCTCCTCGGGACAGTTCGCTCGCCTCGGGACGTTCCATTCCGATCTTGATGCACACAAATTCACACGATATCATCAACGCGAACGCGCGACACTTTATTCGGCACTCCCGATACTCGCTCGCATCCGATAATCATCATCAAGGGCGCGAATAACGCGACGCAACTTCGCTCCATCTTCGCGATGACGCCATCACTGAATATCGTCAAAAATCGCTGTCGCGCGTTTCCATCGACACACTATAAAAGTCGCGAGATCATCCTTGGACACTTTCGACGCTCGTTCACTCGCGATATTCGTTTAAAAACGGTTAAAAGACGCGAAAAATGCGGACGTACGACGATCCGTGTAACTGCGTATGACTCCGATCACGTATGACGCGTATGACGTAGCAGTGACGTAGCAGTCACGCGCCAACATGGCGGCCGAACCACTGCGCATTCGTTTCTGCGCATGGCCATTCCTGTGTTCAACGTTCGCGCAACTTTGATTTCTGAATATTGTCTACGGCTTTAATTAATAGCACATAATGATAAATATATAAAGATGGAATCAATTAATCATATTGGTCATATATGTAGACTTGCCTGAAGAAAGAGAATTGTTCTTGATGTTCACTTTTAAAGGAATAAAGAGAATTATATATAAATGTAAATAAATTATCCGAAGAGATAAAATCCGAAGAGAGAAAAAATTGAGAGATATTTTTAATTTTTTAATAAAAAATGAAAATGTCTATTCATAGGCTTGTTCTTCTTTTCCTCTTTTGTGCAATTTCGATTCAATATATAACGTAGAAAATTCATAGTATATTGCATTTATTTTTATATATTCACAATTATAATATTCGCGCGATCATTTTTTGACATTTACAATACTCGTGTGCCTTGTTCTCGATGTTCACTTTTAAAGGAATAAAAAGAATTATATATAAATGTAAATAAATTGTCCAAAGAGAGAAAAAATTGGATATTTTTAGTTTTTTTAGTAAAGGTTGGAAATGTCTATTCATGATAGAAATGCAAAGAAAGAAAATTATTATGTTTAAAATAATAATTTCATATGAAATACAACATTAAAAGTTACATTATAGAACTTGACTTTCTAAAAGCGTAATATAACAATCAAATAGTAGACAGAGAAAAGACTAATTGTAAAAGAAAAAAAGTTGTTAACTTAACTAAACCATTTAATTAGAATTCTAAATGTGTGTGTGTGTGTGTACACATATATATTAGGATAGAAACGAAATAGAAATAGAAGAATAATCAATGCTCGTAAAGATTGCAACAAAGTAATAATTTATAATTTTGATTCCTACCGTATAATCGAGTATCGTATTTCGAGAGCAACTATTCATTAATACTCAACTATTTATTAATAATAAAATTGTATATAACTTACGAATATATTCCACTTATTCCGGACGTTAATATCGCGATAACGACGAATAAACTTTTCAAAAAAGTTCAATTCAACTATTTCATATGAGACAGTTCTACCAATCACTGATACAAAAAACTCGTCAATTGACCAGTTGGTGAAACTGTTTCAGTCCTGAGTATTTTCTTAAAAGAGCTGTTGGCGCACATACTTGCGTGTATTATGTTTACGCGCGTCACGCGTTCGAACGAACCTTGACATTCTCGCGGGTAAAGTCACTAGATTAAGCCCCAAAAATGGCGTCCGATAGTGCAGATAGTGCACACTTTGTGTAGCTATCTATACTAAGTGCAATTTTTCAAACCTTGATCCTGGTTTGTCCTGTGTCCTGTTGTGTGGGAGATGAGAAAACTCCTTCTGTTGCGCAGAAAAAGAAGAAAATATCAAAAATGCCAGGTTGTTGCGTGGAGAAATGCAACAATCGCAGCCTATATCTATACTATCGGACGCCATTTTTGCTCCAGCTTATATTATTGAGATCAAAATTGCGGTACTTTGTTAATCTAGTGACTTTACTAGGATCATCTAAAAACGGGCCATAACATCTCTCAGTCTTCTCTCTGAACGCAGTAAGAGCAATGTAATGTGTTGAGATGTTCGAGATGTCACTCGCTGCATGGTGAATGGCGACAGAGAAAGAAGGAAAGAGGGAGAAAAAAAGATTTATAAGTATTTTTATTTTACAATCGCGCGCATTCTTGCGACGAGGAAAATCCTTCTAAATTTAAAGAGCGAGCTGCGATGGATCGTGAATTAATTGAGAAGTTTATCGAAGTAACGGGTGAGTATTTTTTATCGATGTATTAGCGCAAGAATATCATCTTATTCAGGTTAAATAATGCATCTTCCTGTACCTTAATAAATATAAAACAATATCGAGAATTATTACCGAAATCGACAATGAATACATGTATTCTATGCTAACAATAAGTACTATCAAATTTCGTGTTTCTGTCAGGCGAGAGCGAGGCAACGGCACAACAGTATCTCGCGTTGGCCGATGGAAACGTAGAGATGGCGATTAGTCTCATGTTCGAAGGTGGCAGACCACCGGAGATTGAGAATTCGAATTCTGAACCACCAGTGAGAGCTCCTATATTACCCACGCAAGAGATACTGGTGCCGTCAGAACCAATGTGTTCATTTCCACGACTGTCAAATAATGTGTTCGATAGATTCAGAGACTTTGCAGTAGAAACCCGTATGTATTATTGTATAATATATATCAGTTGGCATGTCTTTTATATTGAATAATAAATTGATATAGAGCGACAAGAGGAAGAGATGACTCATAGAGTAACTGGCATGAAACATATTTCTCAAAAGAAATCAAAACGATTGGAAGATTTATTCCGACCGCCAAGCAATATTCTCTTCTTGGGTTCTTTCATGGAGGCACGAGACCATGCAAAAACTCTGAATCGTTGGTTACTTGTCAATGTTCAAAATCCACAAGAGTTTAGTTGTCAAGTTCTTAATAGAGATGTATGGCCCAATCAACAAATTCAAGAAATTGTGAAGGATCATTTTGTTTTGTGGCAAGTATGTCATCAGATTATAATGCTATTTTGTATAGTTCAGATTTTGATTTATTGATATACTATATTTGCCATTTTCTTTTAAATCAGGTTTTGTGCAGTGCATCAGATGGAAGACGTTACATTGATTTTTACAATGTAGTGGCATATCCGTATCTTGCAATTGTAGATCCCAGAACAGGAGAATGTATGAGAACTTACAATAACATCACTGTGGATAGTCTGATCTCTGATTTAAATGATATGTTGAGCACGCATGCATCTCCAGAGAGCGCTTCACAGGTTACATCTAATTCTAAAAATTGGAATAATTTTCCTACAACGCCTCCAAAACGGAATATTTTAGCTGATCAAATAAAAAATGTTAGTTATTAAATTGTATCATTAATCATCTCAATTTTTCTCTCTTTGTATATAAATATTTTTATTGTATTGCTATTTCCAGGATTGTGGTCCTAGTAGTAAAACTTCTAGACTTTTATCAGAAAAGATAGCAAATTCAGGTTAGTATTTTTAAAATTTAAATAAATTATATAACAAGGAAAATTTAGGTATATCATATTATTGATTTCTTTACTTATTTCACAAAACTGTGTAAAATACCATTTTACTCAATTTATTTATATTATTACATGTAGAAAATGAAAATGTAACTTCGAATAACATTACAAGTTTAAATATTCCAAGTAGCAGTAGCACTGCCTTTAATAAAAAAAGAAAACTAAATGAATGTGAGGCTAAGGAAAAACAACTAAAAGATGAAAAATTAAAATCTAATGCAGCTAAAGTTGAAACAAGTAAGCATAACATACCTATTGTAATTTACAGAAACATTTTCCATATATCTTTTACTTACATGACTACTTACATTACTATTCTACAAAATTAATTTTATATTCTAGATGATGAACCCTTTCTGCGACTTTGCTTACGCCTGCCAAATGGTACAAAAGAAACAATATCAATGTGTGCAACAGATACTATAGAAGTATGTTTTCAAAATATCTTCTTAATATTGAAAAATTGTGCAATGTATTAAAAAAATGTGTATAATATAACTGTAATTATTTTTAGGACTTTCTGTTTAAAATGGAAGAAATGGGATTTCCATCAACAGAACATACCTTTTTGGTGCCATTCCCGAAAACAAATGTTGGTGCACTGTCTTCAAATATACGTTTATTAGATACAATCTTATTTCCAACAAACACAGTATTCATTACCAAGATACAGTAACATACCATAAGTAAATTATTTCTTCCACAATAATTCAATTAATATCAATTTAGAAATTTGAATTAGAAAAATGTTCAGCAATTTATTATTCCAACGTATTTCTATAAAACTTATAAAAATTATATACTGTGTTTTATGGATAACAATTTAAAGTTCTGTTTTTGTTTCTTGAAATTAACAAATATAAAAAATTTTCTTTAGATAGGTTTATATAGTAAATTGAAGAAAGACAGAATATTTATGAAAACCAATGTTGAACATAGTGAAGCACTGCCATTCAGTGTTCATGTCTTATTAAAATTTGCATTCTCTAGACTCTGTATAATCTTTCTATTCTAGAATAAGATTTTATATACTCATGATATATTATAAAAAAATTGTCAGTTACACATTTCGTGTATAACCACTATTGCCTACCCATTTTATCTCGTTACTATATTTGTTTTATTACTATTTCTATAAATCTTGCAAGTGCCGTCCATAACATGTACAGCTGTCTCAAAATGTATTTCTGGCGAAATATTTCAATGTCATATATGCAATAGATTGTTATATATATCATGATTATAACATGTTATTAAAAAATAGAATATCTTAAAGAATGCTGTATGTAAGGGAACTTTTATCAATGTGATTCAAAGTATAAGCCAAATAAGGTTTCATATTACGAATCGAAAATAATTGAATGTTATTCTTTATGTTGCTGTAGTACATCACATGTGTACATCAATATATGTGATCTTCATTAAGATAATATGTTCAAATTAAAACTGCCGATATAATTAGTTCTAAATTAAGATAGATATAAATGGAAATATTTTACAAATATAATAAGATATTAATATACACATAGTGTTTACTATGTTATACATATATAATATGCATTGACTACACACAAACATTTCATACATGTCAACTATCTGTATTTTTACTTATTTTTCAATGTATAATACCACAATTCTATAATATACATAATAGAAAAAATATCTTCTTGAATTTATTATGCAAATATATGTATATATTTATACATATACATACATACACATTATACATTTAATTAAAAATCATATTTATTATATAAAATTCTTATATACATAGACATAATTTAATCATTTATTCATTCAAAAACAAATTATTATTTTAACTTTCAATGTAGTTGCATTCATTACCATCAACAAATATATGTATACACATGATTAATATTTTTAATATAGGATTGGATGTGTGCAGGATTCATACATTGAAATGCCGAATTAAAATAAAGATGACATAAGAAAATTTTGTGAAACAACTTGTGTTATTTATACATATATTACTTACACATATATGTACATATATACAAATAAATTCAAAATATCATATTTTATATACATCATGTAGATAGGCGTCTCAATCTTTAAATCATCTTTAAATATTGATATCACATATAATATACATTATATACATATATATATATATATATATATATATATATATATATATATATAAGTATATAACATAACACTTAAAAAATAGGTATACAATCTTCTTAAAATAAGTACATATTTCAAGAAACAAATAATTAACAGTTTTGGTGTAAATATGTAAAGTTCAGTATTTAGTATTTTAGATTAATGCATTACTATTTATCAATTTTGTTGTTTTAGTGATCACATAACATTATTTTCGTTGTAAGTTACAAATATTTGTCAAATCTATATTCTGAAATAATACAAGATTCATTTCATCATGATAATAATATGATAAAACCATATGATTCGATTAGAGTAGCAGCAGTTACAAGTATCAATGATTATTGATATTAATTTTGTCAATTTAATATACAACCTGATGCATAAGCAGGATATTAATTAGGCGGTTGCATGAATGATGTCTGCGCGCGTAAGGTCATACCAGTCACATCGTCTGTATAATGGAATGAGAAAAAATAATAAAATATTAGATAACATAATTAATAATTAATAGAATTTTTATATAATAGTAAATAGTGTTGCATTGCTAAAAAAATTATAACTTAAAAGCCAAAAATTAATTATACATCCAATCTGCCAATCCATTTATAAAACTTAAATATTAATGAATAAATGTAACAAATTTAATACTGAAATAAAAAAACTTATATAGATATATATAGAATATAAAAATAAATATATAAGAAATCATACATATGTTGTTAGTAAATGCAGTTTCTAAAATCCTCTTGTGGATAATGCAATGTGTTCTGGAGATAATACTTGTAAAATTGTTTGAAAAAATAAGAAAGATAATTCAAGTGTTTTTATTCATATATGTCTCAATACATTGTATAACGATAATCTTTCCATTAAACAGATTTCATATATATATCAAATCAATACAATAATATCAATATACTGTCTATGCTACAGAATATCCTTAAAGAGTGTACAATTCTTTTAATAATAAACATTATATTCGGAGACAACGCTATATGTATTTAATGTTGTACAATGTGTGCATATATATGTACACACACACACACATACAATATAGATAAAGCTATATTAGAGAAGATGCGATCCAAAAATATTAAATATTGTTAATAAATAATAAGTTTGTTACTTTTATTCACACACTATCAGCAAATATATAGATTTGATTAAAAATATTAACATTATATAAGCTTTTAAAATATAACATATAAATATTAAATACTATTATTAGCGACTAGATAAGAAAATATGGTGATTTGCCATTAACAATATATTGATCTGAAATTACTTTTCAAACCTTGTAATTTTTATTTTTTTATTGATACTATTGAGCACAAGAGAATGCATGATATTGAGGATAAATATGTCTATTTTTTTTCTTTAAGTTTTATAAAGAATATTTTTAAAAATAGATGTCAAAACTTTATAATATAAGGATTAGTATGAAAACCTATATATGGTATCATGTGAATAATGTAGAGCAAAGTAGTTGGATTGCAAAGCATTTTCATTCAAATTGTCTTAATGACTTCAAAGCAATAAATTATAAAAATTTATGAAAAGAATTCTTCTTCCATACCGAGATGTCCCAGAAACACACCCATTGGTGTGCGTTTCAAGCCAATGCCTTCAATTTTGTTGACAATCTTGTTTTTGATATTTCTTAATCTCAGTGAGGCATGCACAAATGTCACTAAAGGTATCAATACAACGAATAAAGTAATCAACTTTTGATTTCTATTGTTCAAAAAATAGTAAAAGCAGCATATATGTATATATATATGGCAATATAAAATAGTATCAATTATTGCGCTTACCACAGAAAGGTAATAAAATACCCAGCAAGAAAACTAAGAGAGACCCAAGAGTATATGTTATGAAACATCCAGCAAATATTATAAACAACACTCCAACTACTGGATATTGCTTTTTGAAATGATGTATTACACTTCCTTCCATAGTTACATAGGCAAATGTACCCAAAATTGCCATCATTGCTAGCATACCGACTAGCATTTTAACAGGATGAAGTAATCTGTGTATAAAATTTATATAATAATAAATACAACATAATTAAGTTTATGTAGAAGGTGCAAAAAATACAAGATATTTGTTGTAAAAATTAAAAATTTTAAAGAATTAAAGAAATATTAATTAAAATATTTGTTAATCTACATCTTGTAGAGTTTTAAAATTTATTAATAAAAAAAGGAATATTTAATGTTTAAAACATATCATATATAAAAATTAAAATCAGAAATTTTAAGACTGCTTTTCAACAGAAAAAACTTGTATTACTTTTATAACATTCAATGCTGATTTGCTAAATCTGAAAATAAAAATCAATCACATTCAACTGTCATTAAGTAGTTTTTTTTGTTGAATTCATTAACAAAAGATTTCGCAATTAACAAAAATTCCAAAAATTGAGCATCAATTTACAAAAAATGAATATTTTATATATACGCACAATTTATATAATCACTCTCTTGCAAAGATTATAAAGATAACTTACCCAACAATGAGGAAGATTATGACAGACATGAATAAATAATTAGTCTGATAATACAGAAGGTTGTTAACCACCCGGTTGCCCCATTTCTCCAAGTCTTTGAGATTTGGTAGTTGGAAACGAGCAGACTCCAACAGGAAGTCGTCCAAGCTACGCAACGGTGGTAACTCCAGGTCGTTACTGATCAGCTTCGTCTTGTCCATCGCGACAGAATGACAATATTGAGATACTCGTCTTCAATGACACGCAATCGCTTTAACAGGTCTCACCGGCCTTCTTCGCAATTATCCTGCCGGTATTTTTGGACGATGACGAGTCTGACACAAATGTCATGCAAGATTGACAACTTCTACGTTTATCTAACATTGGTCTTGAAACGCTGAAAATGCTACAATGCTGAAAGAAATTTAATTGTCCAATAGGGATAAAGTAATCTTTGCCCCGATTGGTCAATCTTGACACAATTGTCATTGGTTAAGATGAATGTCAATACGAATTAGTTGCTACGAACAGTTGCTCTCTCAACAGTTGCGTTATCTCTGACTGTAACGTGTTATCAGGCATGAAGCGGGAAAGCTCTTGCTGCATTTAAAGTGGATGAAATAATAACGTTCAGGTTTGTAGAATCTTGATATCTAAGTTAATTAAATTTTTAATTATTTGAATAGCTTATTTTTTCATTGTCTAAAATCTAGACTTGGGTTATGTGCCTGTGTGATTTATTATGAGCTTTTCACATAACTTTTTATCAAAACATTCATAAAGATGAATTAAGATATGTGTATAAAAATTTTCTTTAATTTCTTAAACAATTTATATTAAATGTTTTTGAGAATTTTGATTAATGTTAAAAATATGAAAACCAAAAATACAAAAAGACATTTTATATATCAATATTATTACATAAGTTATAAGTATTTTGTGGCTTTTTGTCATTAAAAGGTGAATATTTCTGGTTTCAGTTATCTGCTATCATTATTTTTTTTACTAATTATCTGAAGGATTTGATTAAAACTTATGAATCTTTATACTTGACAAAAATTGGCAAAATGTCGATAACATTTGTTTTTATTGACATACTGCTGCTTGAAATTAATTTCTTTTTAAAAGAATAACATTCTGCAATCTTGTTACATTAATAAGTATTTACTTATTCAATAGTTAACATAAATTTTTTATTCTGCAAAAGTAAATAAATATATTCTATTGCAATGCTTTATGAATTATTCATTAAAAAATTTGTTATTGAATATTTCTTATTTAAGTCAAGAGAAAATATATCAATTATGAAATATTAAATTCTTTTACTAGGGATTTTATAACAATCAATTAATACTATGTAATATTTGTTTTGAGATCTTGTGAAAAGTGCCTTCAATATTGTTTAAATTTTTTGAAATAACATTTCACTAGTTGTTATAATAAAATGCATCAGTCTTAATTGGCAACTCATAAAATTAAAAATAAATAATATTGTATATTCAAAAGATATTGTGTATGTATACACACCTTGTGTCAAACAAAATCAAACACAAGTTTTTCTAGCTTTCTTTATTACAAAATTTATGCTAAAATTGAATACACAGGCTCTTTAAAACAGATATATGGTAAAGATCCAAACAATCGATCTTGATCATTTTAAGTTAATAGTATATATTTTCTGTATTAATGTTAATGTATGACATTAAATATTAATAACGCGCGATAATTTTTGCACCCTGTTGAGTAGAAGATCACCTTGCTTTACCATTGCCTGATATTGCCAATTCTTACTGTCTGGCCGATTCGTCTCGACTACACCTCCGACTCGATCAACTTTGCAGTGTAATCGGCCAGCTGCTATAAAGCGTGATAATTCTCTGTAAAAAAAGTAAGTAGTAAGTATACAAGTTTAAATATAATAAATTTTTCTACGTATAATTTCATAATTTAAATTAAATAAGAAACAAATACATATAAAACAATATATAACTTTGAAAACTATAATATTAATCTCTTATTGAAGTTATATCTTCCAAACATATGTTTCAATGATATCAAACATGTTTCATGCACTTGATTAGTTGATCATGATTGACTTGTGAAAAGTAGAGCATCTGAAAGATATAATTCCAATGCAAAAGATTAAATAAATGCAAACGTCCCACGTGACTGTCCATTAAAAGTTAACATACACACATAACACACATAATAAAATTAAATAATAGTACATTATACACTTACTGATCGATGTATTCTACCGTAACACCAAATGCTTCAGCCATATATTGAAGAGTTAATGATCGATAAGATTCCAGTAACTGTGTATACGCGAGTATTCGCATTTCTCGAACGTAATATCGATAATGCGGAAATACTAGATAATCTCGGCGCAACAATCCTTCAACATGTGCTGAAACAATTTTTGATAATGATAAAATTTCCTCAATATGAAAAAAGAAATTTTAGTTTCATTAATTTACCAAGATTTTTGAAGAAATCTGCATAATGACAATTATACAATGAGAACAAATAATCCTTGACATCCTGATTACTATGGAGAACTTCTAATATTTCGGATCCCTTAATGATTTTATCTCTCAGTTCATTACGTGGTAGACTTATCATGCTCAAGTATACTGTGTATCTCACAAATGTATTATAATCCATAAGTTCATAACTTGTAAACGTGCTAATAGTATCCAAAAAGAAATTTGCAGCTTCTTTGAAGTTGCGAACTGCTATACAATATGTTCCTTGATAGACTTTCAAACGGTTTCTTCTGTCCCAGTCACCACCTTCTTCTATCAAACTTTAAAATGGATAATACACATTAATTGTTATAAAATTAAAATTGACAAAATTTTTTTTTCACCTTTACCAACCTTTTAGCTTTTTCAATATTTCTCGTAATATGATCATGATCCAGATAGAACAAGCCAATTCTAATATTGTGGAACACAATGTCTAGTCTATGTCCTAATGATACTGTTTTGTCGTAAGTTTTTCTAAATGCCGAGATTGCACCTTCCTTATCGCCTATTCGACACAGATATTCAGATTTCTTTAAATTAGCTTCTCGAACTTCCATTTCACTCAAATTTTTCTCAGCATCTTCGATAGCATCATCATGTTTCTTTAACTGTTCCGCATTATGTGCCTTCATTGTAGAAAGAAGCGCTTCATCTACTGTCCAATCCAGGCTTTTACATACCTCTTCATAGAATGGAGCCATATCTATATAGATGTTATAATTATATTATTAATTACATTTTTTGATAATTATATTATTAAATAGTTAATGAAGTTAATGAATGATAGTTAATGTAATATAGAGGTTATATTTGGAGCTATGATAAATAATATATTTAATAATCAAGATGAAAAGAAAAGCAGCAAATCTATTGAATAATATAAATCACGCTCTTAAATCACATAAAATTGCTATAGAAATAATATAATATGGATGAGAAAAAGATGCAATCTCACTATCGGCTTTGATAGCATCCAGGAGTTTCGTTTTCATATTAGGATCATCCTTGTGCTCGGGAAGACTCAGCAAGAATTTAGTTTGTGCCAATTCCAAGTTCGGATTCTTCTCCAAACCTTCCTCTTCCAAATTTTCCAACGGCATTGTGACTTTTAACAATAATACACACACTCCCAATTCCCAATGTCTCTAATGAGCTGACACTTTTCCGTGTGGCTCTTTAAGCATAGATAAGAAAAACATCTTGATACGGCACATTTCGCATTCTAACATCGGAAGCCATGTTTTTTTAATTCAAACTAATCTTGAAAGATGGCGTCGTTGTCCCCGAATTTTTTGCGCCCAATTATCGCCAGCCATTTTCCCTCTCATGGCGAGACTGTTATATATATAAAGAGCGCAAGATTTATTTTTAATTATAAAAAGAAGATATTTTATATTATATGGGAGAGAAGACAATTTTTGCAATTCTCAACTTTTTTTCAAGTAAGAGTTTATTGATTTTTTTAATGAAAATAATCTTGCATTCTAAGAATAATATTAGATATATAATATTAGATATATAATGTGTTTCTAATGGTTATCTCTTTTAGACATTTTTGAAATGTCTTTTAGATTTTTTGTGTTGTTTAAATATATAGATTGTAATAATAATATAAATAATATTGAAGTAATAGTATTTGAATAATAGTTTTTAATAATAGTAACTTGCTATGTTTAACACTCAAATTTTGAATATCGAAAATCACAACCTTGATTGCCTCTTCTCTTAGTTCTTATTAAAATAATTTTTTTATCGCGTACAATAACAAAGTAAGAAGGACAGGAGGCGCATTCGAATGATAAACGCATCTCGCTTATTTTAACGAATTAATTTATTTTATTTTATTTTTTTACACAAACTGCCAATGATTCGATTAAGATGAATCCAGAGAAAGAGAAGTCTGTCTTCACAGAATATTTAAAATTTACAAGAGAATTGCTTACACGAGAGATGCGACTTGGTTCATTCCGTTTGCCATTTTGCATAAAGACTCAAAATTTTCTATAATTTTTTTTAAGCGCCACTAATCTTTTCTCGTTGACTTTACTATTATTTTCTTTGTTTTTTTTTTCACAGCGAACAGAAGAGATATTAATGATGAGATACATGGAACAATAACAGTGAAAATTGGCTCATAGAAAAAAACGCAGTAATTCGTAAGTATGATCGTTTATATTCTCGTTATCAATTTTCTTACTTTTTTCATGTCGTGTTTGAAGCGATCGGCGCCATATGTGAATGGCAATACAGAATGATTTTTTTTCTATTTGATTTTTCTTAGTGAAAAATAGTCTCTATATAAATATAGTGAAAATTGAATTCTAAGTTTTTTCCCAACAATTCTATGTTTTGAATTTTTAAACGCATTTACTTTTTTCATTACATTATTCGAAAAGTTGTTGCAACAATGGCTTTCATGCTCACTAATTTCACAATATTTATTATTTGCGTTATGATCATGTTTATTAATATAATAAATAAAAATCATTTAATTTCTCACAGAAAGATGTATATTAATATTATTTTAATTTTACTCTGACATTTAATTTCAGCAATTCCCGTCATAAAAAATACAGCAACCGATCGATTCAGGCACGATTATAAAGATCATATCGATGCATTCTCGTCGTTTTTTTCTCCGGCTCACGATCATCAGATCAGGAACAACAAATTGAGGCAAATTGGGAGGAAAGAGATTAACTCGACAGCTTGAATCATGTGTAAAAAACAGCTGATGAATAAAAAAATCACGAGCTCTAATTCATCTTTCGATCGAAATAAATCCGCCGAGGGTCCACGTAACCGTCGTCATCTTTCCACCTTGTCGATTTAAAACGATCATCGTCATGCCGGCCTCAAAGGTATGCAAAGTAATCGTTATATCTTTTGTTTTTGTTATTTTACTCTTATTATTTTTCTTTAAAACACAACACACATCATACGTTCAACAGCTTTTAGTCCACTTTAGTGGATTTAGCTACACTTAATGATCCTTTAATAATTAGTTAAACGCACAATTTTGTCCTCTTATTTACTTAATCGACTCGGTAATAGTCTAGAGAATTAACGTTAAAACATTAGTCTCGGAAAATGATAGGCGAGGATGTCGGATTTTTCGCGCGATTATGATTCGAATAAGAGAAATTTCTGGAGCGTACACGCTTTCAAAACGCTTTCTCGCTTTTGGTTCAAATGATCCGTCTATCTATTTTTCGATACACGTATGATTGAAAATTTTTCTCTTTTTCTTGAAAAATCAATTTACACGCAGACTTTTATCGAGTATTCATTAGTTCATTTATCAGACCTCCGAATATCCCGCAGCATCATTATCTTTAATATCGCTTTCAACATCGCTATTACGCGCGCGAACACGTTTCCTTGCACACCAAGTCGTTATAAGAGGATCGTATATATCGCATTAAGGGATGGAGAGCAGAAATACAGTTGCCAATGACCGCATCGAGCGTTCTACACTTACAATTAGCAGAAATTTTCTTCGGGTAAAGAATACCATGATTTCCGTGTTATATCAGTAATGTATTTGTAACAATTCATTTTTCACATAAAATATCGTAGTACGGGTAGAGACATACAGATTTACATATTGCGGGATACTCGGGTATCCACTGTGAGCACCCAATATATAACGTCCGTTGGAGATCTGCGTGGGCTTCGTTAGGTTCGGGCGGCAAGGAGCAGAAATTTTTGCAAGGTATCGTCGAGCATCCGTCACCCTTCCTTATCCCGCGATTTATTCGTAGGATAGCGATGAATATTCGAGAAGTACATTCGTTAATTCGATACAGAACACATCTCGATAGTCCGAACGAACGCAACGTACCGATCGACGACGTCGACGGAACGAACGATCCGATGATCCCTCGCGGATCGGCATTGATCGTTCGGACGCACACGTAGATACACCGTTACGTTTAATTAGTTAGGTAGAATAATAGAGGTTTGAAGCGATTAAAAAATATGTCGGAGGCCGGCAATCCGGCCCAAGCTCTCTTACTCGCTTACTCCTGGATTTTCTTCTTTTTTTTCTTTTTGCTTTGTTTATTCGACACGTTCAACAGCGAATCCACTTTTATATCTGTATAATATATATTTATACTTAATAGTAAAGTCCTTATAATATATAGCAATCAATTTACAATCAGTTAGTTAATTTGATTAATCGAAGAGTCAATTAATTAATAGTGTGACGGCGGATCCGCCAGTCGCAGCGAGACCAGGCGACGAATATAACGCATGTATATAATTCTCACCATTTTTCATCATTTTGCGATTTGTGATGAATGTTGTTGCGCGATTAACACACCGATGACACCTATTATTCTTAGCCGCCGCTCGGAATCGGGGAAGAGGAGGGGAAGGAAAAGAGGGATCTGGACTTTTGAAAAACATCTACTACGATAAATTTCGATCGTACGTGATTCGCGATCGTTATGCGTGTTTGAGGCCGATGACGGAACGAAAGAAACATCTATAATAATATAGACATCAGTTATTATATCAACGATTCTCTCATCTATACCCTGTGCATTATCTTAAATGTCTCGACACATTTTAGGTGGTTTCACCCGAGATAAATGTGTGCTGCTCGCTCTTATCCTTACATATATAATCAATATATAATATATTTATAGTTTATTTATAATATCTATATATATTTATATATTTATATATTTATATCTGTATATATATTTATAATCATGCCAGATGCGTCACTTTACAGCGTCGGTCAGCGACAAAAGAGGATGTCGATTAATGCCAGCTATAATATCTATTACGACTGCATGTATGTACGTGTATCGTGTATCTAAGTATGCATTCACGTACATGTTTGTGTACACGTACGTGTTTGTTTTTCATTAATCGCGTGTATTAATATGTATATATTTATATATATATGTATAGTGACTTTCGGCAATGCGAAACGCATAACAGAATATAATTAACGAGACAACGTAACGCGAGTATGTTAATAACGACAGTAACATATGTAACTCCACAGCGATATCGAGTTTTAACGATAAATAATAATCAGAGTTGTAACGAGAAACGGTGATGGCTGGTTGCGGGCGCGAGGTACGAAAGTGGATGGCGGTATGATTAAACAAAGTACACCAAGTGGTCTCTTTCTTTTGTTCTGCCTCTCGTTAGGGCATACATCTTATATTTAAATAAGCTCGGCATCCGGTTGCGCGGGCGATCTTACTTAGGATTTCTCGGATTATAATAATTCGGTCGATCGTCGGCGGATTCTATCCCGCGCGCATTTACAAGGCCGGTTAGGCTATATTAACATCGATTAATATCAACCTTAGTTTAATCGATTTTCTGTCTCCTTCTAGTCCTAGTTGGCGTAAGAGATAAATAAGTTATTCCTCATCTTTAGACGATGCGAACAGATATATCTATGGAAATTTTAATGTACAAATATCCTCGAAATATTAATAGTTTGAGAAATAGTGAACATTATTCGAATTAGCACATTTCTCAAGTTATATCTATATAAATCAACGACTTTTCATGCAAAATTGTTTATGTCGCGATTTTAAGAATACAAAAATTTTCAGTAGCATATTTTTTCACATATTATATTCGATATATATATAATATCGATATATATATATATATATATATATATATATATATAAAATATATATATATAATATATATATATATATAATATCGATCGATATATATATATATATATATATATATATATATATATAATATATATATATAATATTCGATTATTTCTTCTATAAATATATCTATAAGTTTGGAAAAATAATTTGCTCGGATAAGGATTAAACTACGGTTAAGTATGACCAACGTTGATGAAAGCATGACCGTGCCGTGATTAAAGAAACACCGGCGCAATCGGGCTTAAGCTTCTTTCTACTATGTGCAGTAATCTTAACGATACAATGACGATAACGATTAATATTTACTCTGTTAAAGATGCTGACGAAAAACTCATGAGAGCGGCGAGCATAATGACAACGCGCGGCTCGTAATATACTCGTCTTTTGCTAGTAAAGAGAGGAAATGTGCGATATCCGCTGGAATAATTATTCGATAAAAGTGCTTGGATGAAAGTAAAAATTGTAATATTTAAATTATAGAACACTTTCCGGTGAATAGCAAGAAACAACGGAAAAAACAATAGCACGTATCTCTCTCTTATTCGGAAAAATAAATGTAGATACGCAACACTTAAAAGTAACCAATGATGATTCTCAAGCACGAAAATATATAAACGATTAATCGGTGATCGCGTTCTCAACTTGTGTTATTAGTATAATGACAAACACGAATCCGTAGAAACGTCAGAGAATATATGTATATACTTGAAGATGTGTTATTTCACAACCGGGTTTCGTAATTCCAATTGTACATGAGCCTGTATGTAATTTTTCATGTACTTCTCTTATCGCTTTTTACACTTGGATTAATTTTGTTCGGAAGATTTTGCATCTTGAGAAAATTAGAAAAAAAGTTTGCCTTACGAACTTATAAATGAAATTAAAGATTGAAAAATTATGATAAAGAATACGCAATTTTTTTATTTTGTTTATCAATTATCGTTATAAAGGTCGTAAAAGTCGTTTTTGTTGATCGTAGCTCATTATGTTGATTGAATTTTTCAAAAGTATACCTGCTTTTTTATTCCATTAAGATATTAATGGAATATCTGTTGTATAATAATACAATGACGAATTGATAATCTATTTTATTACATGAAGTATTATAAGCCAATTGACTCATATCGAATAGAATAGATATATTATGCATCTGAATTTGCATACGGAATCAAGCTTAATCGAGCTAAAAATTTCACATTCACAAAAAACTGTGAATATGTTTTGTTCGGTTGTACCATAATGAGATACCAATAAAATATTTTTTAATTTTCTCATAAAAAATCTTTGGTTCTTCCGAGCATTGTAAAATCGAGGTGCGAATATTGCTTCTAAGAAATAATATTATGCGTCGTCATATGAAATAGAATAGATTTCTCGAGAAGAACATCAAGACAGCTATTTCGACGACATGAAAACGCGTCACAATCTAAATCACAGCGATAGACGCGTGCTAGTCAATCAATCAAACATGTAATATAGTAACAATATAACAAGCCAACAATAATGGAAATCGCGGTGCAGTACATAAACATATATGTAAGCAAACGGTGTCGTCGTTTCCAACTGCGTAATTCTAGCGTATTTCTCACGAAGATAAAACCAATATAATTTCGGTGAGTTTCATCCTCGATATAACATTACATAAAAAAAAATCACAAAAAAATTTATCGCGACTATATCGCGTTATCGTATATTCATGATATTCGATTCAAAAAAAAAATATCACGAATAAATCGATAAATATAATTTGTATGTGATCTTTGGTATCGAAATCTAAATTCATCGAAATTATATCCGTTTCAATATCTGATAATTTTTTTTGGCTAACTTTACACTTTATTTTATTTGCACCGCGATACGTAAACCTAATTCGCTGTATCCTATCGACTTTCGAAGACGAACAAATTAATTTAGAATGCGGGATATCCTGTTCGTTCTCGATACCATTTGTATTCATCAAAATATGAAAATGCGACAATACAATTTCAATGACGAAGATCTTTATCAATCGGCGATGATCAGCTAATGTCGGTTGATCGATGGGGAAAAACGCGCAATTACATGCTCGGCTGACCTCGGCTACGTCGACCGAATTTGTAATCGCGATCTGCTCGGCGTTAATAAGGTCGCCGTTTATCGTCACGGTTATCGGTATATACTTGTTCATGTATGTTTGTGTATAGGAGAGATGTATGTATAGTATTTTAACGGTCGGATCGGTACAAAATGCGATCAGCGAACCTAATCTAGCAGAGGCTTACGTTCGTTGCGTGCGCCATAGTTGCGTTTCACGAGCAGTTTCCCATTCCCGAGCCGCGCGCCCGTAATTATTCACGTAATCGTATATCGGAAGCGAGATAAAAAAAATATGTGAAAGAGATGGCAAGACAAGGTAAAAGTAAATAGAAAGAAATGAGAGATATCGAGAAAACGAGAAACCGAATGGCTGCATCGAATGCCTCAGAAGATTTGACAAAAAAAAAACTATAGATATACAGCGTTATTCTTCATCACATTTTTTCAATGATATAATCTTTCCAAATTTAAAACATTCGATATTAGGAACTAAGCTTTAATGATAATAAAATAAACGTTATATCAATTTTTATTATCATGTTTATTTTAATGAACATTTCATCATTGACATTAGAACCTCGATGTTTTAAATAAAGAGAAAGATCTTTCGGATATCATAAGAAATAATGTCTATATGTTCTCTCATTTGCGCCCATGATGGGATATCTTGTATGTAGAGCCGGATAGAGAGCAAAGGAGAGAAAGAGAAGGGAAAATCGCAAGATAGAGACAGACCGTAGATCGATAAAGTGCGAGAGAGAGCGCGCGCAAATTGCTCGCGAGTAGCATGTCGCAGGAGAGTTTGCGATTCGAGGATGGGGGAGACGACGCATTCGGGGAGACGACACGCGGCGGTGCGACCCCGACGTTGAGAGCCTTAAGAGACATGTGTAAAAATACGTAGAAAAGATAAACGCGGCGCGGCATACGCGCGGTATCGCAACAGGAGGCGATCGACAGGCGGGGCGGGGACCGAGCGGGGGGGCCGTTGAAGGTCGATGATAGTCGGTGGATGGTGAACGATACGGTGCTTCACATCGATTATCATACACCGTCGTAGGAGAGGTCGACCGGCGGTCTGTGATGCGACGGTGCGAGGTAGGACGACGGCGTGGTGGTGGTGGGCGCCGCGCCAGCCGCGCTGACGTAGCCGGGATAATTGGCGCTGGGCGCGTGTATCGCCGCCGGTGGTGCCGGATAAGCGTCGAAGGAACTCGAATATGAGCCGTTGTACGGGTACGGGTTAGCCGCCATCGGATGACCGAGGGCGGCGGACGGGTGCATGCCGCTCATGCCGCTCATTCCGCCGATCCCGTAGGTTCGCTGCATCAGGCTGGACTCGAGGCCGCCGAACAGGTAGCCGTTGGTGGAGCCCATCGGCACTGGATAATGCGGTCCGGGTATGATGTTGGGATACGAGTTACCGGGATGATTCATGCTGGGAGTGTAATTACTGGACGCGAGATTCTCCACCGTGTAAGATTTGCTGTGCTGCTGCTGCTGCTGCTGTTGATGCTGTTGTTGCTGCTGTTGCTGCTGCTGTTGAGACTCCTGATGATGACGACCATTCATGCCGTATAGACTTCCGTAAACCCCGTCGTTTGGCGAGTGATGCAGCGAGCTGGGATAGATTCCGCCGCCCGGCGGTAACGGGGGACTATAATTGGACATCCCGGTCGGTCCGGCTGGCATGCCGCCGAAACCGGACATGTAGGACTGATGATGGGCATCCATCTTCTCCGCTAGAGCGTCGTCGCCTGGCATACCCGGATGCGAATGCTGTAGACGCTGACTGCCACCGTCGGCTATGCTCGGGATCTGATCGACCAGGGATTCCAGATCGCTCAAACTTTTGGACGCCACATCTTGGCCGGAATTCCTCTTGATGCCGTACTGCTCGTGCGGATGGTGCGGTGACATGGACGTGTGCGTAGGCGTGTGCGGATGTGGCGGCGTCGGATGCGAGTGATGAGAGTGGTCTTCGGCGGTCTGGCTGAGGGGCGTCGGCGTCGTTTGATGCGGATGCGGATTATGCGCCTCCGGCGTCTGATCGTGGTAGCCCATATAATTGGCATAGGCGTGAGACGGCGTGCCGGGACTACCGTGATGACCGGTTGGATCGGGCCCACCGGCCGGATTGTACTGGCGATGGTCGTTGCCCATGTTCTGCTGCGACATGCTGCTGGGTGGCTCAAAGTCCGGATGTTCGACGCTGGGCGACGTTAGTGGCGACGGCTCGAGATTGTTCTCCGACGATATTCCCGTATTGATCTCCGACGACAGGTCAGAATGCGTAAACGATAGCGACATGGACTGAGAGGACTTGGGACTCTGGGTATAGTGCATGTGTACCGGGCTCTGTTTCGCGCTCATGTTGTACGGGCTATTATCGTTCATTCCCTGGCCGTAAAAGCCGTCGTTCATCGGTTGCGGATACGGAGCCATATGCGCAAAAGCTTTCGGGGGGGACATCAACGGCGGTGAGAAGCAGTTCGACACGGCGTTGCCGTAGTCGTTCAGATGACCCATCGCCTGATGTTGCTGCTGCTGTTGCTGTTGCTCCCTCTCGCGAGTCTCCCGCTCCAACTGCTTCTGCTGCTGATGTATCTTCTTCGGGCGACCGCGACGCTTCTTGATGACCTCCCCGTTCGCGTCCAACTTCTCGGGATCCGGTGGCGGCTGATCTTCCGGGTTCTTAATCTTCTTCGGTCTGCCGCGCTTTTTCTTGCCGGGTATCAGGCCCGAGTCCTGTTTCAGCGCACCGTTGATCTCCGTGATTCGGTTCTCGCCATCGGGCAAGTCGTCAATGTACAGTGGCTTCTTGTCCTCGATCGCTTCATGATCCTTCTTCTTGAGTTTCGAATCGGCGAACACGATGTCCGACTCATCCAGATGCGGGATCGAGCCGTTCAGATAGTCGCGGAACTTCTTCAGGGCCGCGTAATATGGCACCTTGTCGGCAGCCCGTGGTAACTGGGCACACCTCGCGCTGCTCGAAGGCATCACCCACATGTACTGCAACGCAACATTGAGAAATGAGAATGTTGAACTTTAAACACACACATAATCTAACAAAATAGTCTAATAAGGTAGATATCGATACAATTTCAGGTGTCGAGACTATATTTATTCGTGATGGATATTGGATTAGTATTTTTATCGAATTCTTATTGAAATTATATCGATTTTAACATTCTGTACAATAGGCGAAAAATGTTCTATAGATCTTACATCTTTTGAAATTTCTTTGGACATTTTGAATTTTTTATATAGGTGGCTGTTTTACCGTGTTTGTGCCGTCGACGAGATTAGGCTGTCTTCCGAATCCAAACTCCTTCTTTCCCGAGAACACCTCGTATATGAGTTTGCCGTTGAACACGGCGATTTTTGGCTTGTATTTTCGTAATTTCTCGAGCAGAATGTGACTTCCTGCAAATGAAAACAATGATTATATCGTTTGTACTCTCTCGTTGATATTAAAAGTAATCCTATTACTCTCAATAATATTAATGATTTATTGTCATTAATATTAATAATTTTAAACGCCATTATATGAAGAAAACGTAATAATTATGAATAATGTAAAATGAGCAAAGCGAAATGTTTTGTACTTTAATAATTTTGTGTAATCATATCGACAAGTACCGATGTGATTGTAATTATTGCAGAGAAGTTAAGGAGGTCATTTATCAAAATTATTTTTTACTCCAAATTTTTCTACTCCAAACTTTTTTACTCCATGTTTAAAAATATCCTCTCTATCTTATTCCCGGCATTTTTCGATTACACGATCGCATAATGATAATTCCGTCATTCGTCTCATATTTTTGAATTTTTATGCGTGTCGGTTAATTTGACAAGCGTATCGATGAAGACCTCAAAAAGAAAATACCGCGAGTACACTAATTTCGTTTCAAGCGGCGAGTAAAGCGTCCAACTCCGTTATTCCATGTTCACTTTTATGCTTCCGGATTTATATTAATTTATCGAATATTTTTTATTTTGGAGAAAGGAAATATCGAACATACGATGCTCCGGATATCGCATTAATGTCATTAACGAATTTCCGGTGAGACAGGTAAATCGCAATTTTAATATTAAAATATTGAGAAGTGGACGCGCGAGTGAATAATTCAATGATTGTTAAATATTCTCTTAATAAATAATTCAGGGCACAATTTATTATAGATTAGACATTAATTTCGGAGTAAATTACGTGACTATGAAAACAGCGGGAAAACACTAAAAATAATGTATTTAATAATATTATAACGAGAACGCATTTAGCGCTCTATTTTCTCTCGTCGAGTATTTGGAGTCAATTGCTTCTCTCTATGATATAATAAATCGTTATGTTCATTCAAACGTGACATTTTTTGGATTGTTCGAATTTTCGATTTCTTTAACATAAATCAACGCGCGACACACTCGTCTAATCGTGGAACGAATCGAAATTAATATCAGGGCGACAGTTTCGAATAATGGGGTTCACACAGCTTTCGGCAGGACGGTGCATGTTGCGATATGCCTTTAGGAACTAAACGCCTAAGTTGGCAGTACTGCCGCTTCCCGCGTCGAGTGCACGCATGGCCGCGACCTGCGAGTGAAATCGTGCCGTTAAAAAATGTTACGGTTTAACGACGAAATGGAGGAAGCAGTGATCGACAATCCACCTGGGCGCGATTATTCGGACGCGATGCTCCGGAGGCCGACGTCGGCGGAGGGAGACCGCCCGCTGCTCCAAAACAACGACGATCGTCGAGACGGTGAGCACCCTTCGATCACGATCCACGAGCCTCCTTCTCGCTTCTTTTCGGCGATGCGCGTGACGAAGACGAGAACAAATGGCGACGCGCGATAGAATTTTTCCTCGCGAGACGAGCCGCCGACGATTTTTTCACTCCCCGCTCGACGATAAGCTCTCGTCTCCGTGTTATCGAAACGGAGCACGATATCACACTGTACGAATTTAAGGCCGTTTTAGGCAAGTTTGTCTCGAAGGCAATATTGGATAGATTTTCTATCTTATCCCCGTGACGTAATTAATAAAGATATGCTCCAAAATAGATCGCGCAGAGTCTCTCCGTTAGCATGGTTTGTTCAATCTAGCCCGTTGACCTCTAGCTACCGATTGATATTTTACGAGCATTACGTGTTTATTTTCAGTGAAACTTTTCTCTCGGTACACATGTATTTATTTCATTTAGCGCGCGTAACGACAACAAAACTTGGAGCGACTAGAGAAACTCATTATTTTACAAATTCAAGAGAGAGGACATTTTTAAAACGCGTCGTAAATTTCTAATCTCGATCGATGTAAAAAAATAATATTGACGAAAAATCGATCTCTCTCAACAATCTTGTTCTTAAAATTAAATCTCGTTTTAAGATACTCTATATATAAATATATACACACTATAAATAGATACACACACGTACATGTATGTACATATATTTACATATATACATACATGTATCACTTATACATGAATGGAATATTCACGAATGAATAAGTAGCATGATTCGCGTTGGTTGCCGGACGTCTTCTTTCGTTCAGTCGGCAGGCATAATTCTATTCACTAATGCACACTTGGGGTCATATTACCACAAGAGACAGTAGCTCACTCGAAGACGGGAGAGATAAGACGCGCAACTATGGACGCTTCACACGATACGCGAGTGCGACACGTGTAAGTTGAACGTCGAGAACGACCGATCCTCCTTATCTCGCGCCGAGTCCCGCATGGGTTCTGAGAATTATCGTTTTTTTTTTTTCGTTTAGCTTTTGCCGCAGCCGTACGCGTTTCCCCCTCCGATTGTCGTCTTATCGTTACTTCTCATCGAATCACACGCACGCACGCACACCGCGACACCAAGCACGTGGACAGCCGGATCTTTTATTGCCCGAAATATATAACTCTCTTCTCGTCATTTATTTAAATCTATTGTTTGTGTTTAACATCTGATGCGGCGATCTCTAGTCTTGTCATTATTTAATTTGTAATCGCATACGAGCGCCACGTGGACATCCCGGTTTATTAACGCGGTCAATAATCTTTATCGCGAGCCCGATTATCTTTTTGTCATTTTCGTTATTTATTTTGACGATTATCATCTCTCTCATACACGACGGAAACTTTGAATCGCCGAATATGACTCCGATAGAATTACATACTGCACAATCTATTCCGTTACGCGAGGTAAAGCGGTACTTTGTGAGAGAGATGGACACTACTACAAGGAATAAGAGACTTAGGTATACTAGCACGCCACCGGGTGGCGCGACCGAGTCGTCGAGTGGTCCATAGGACCCACAAAAAAAGCAAGCGATAGAGAAATTGAACGGTAAAGTAAAATCGGCCAGTCATAGTCGAGGATACCCGAGAGGAGAATCGCGATTGGTCTATCTCTCGAATTTCCATCGCTTGCATTTTCTCGCGTAAGCCTTGAGACGGGTCTCGTGACACGTATTGTTGGACAAAATCTTATCCTTGGACGAGCATGTGTGTTTCCAGAACGTTTAACGGTCGAAAATTCGAATTTCTGTAGCTACTAATACAAACGTTTCACGTTGCACATGTATATAGAATGTTCTAAAACTATCCTTATGTATTCTGAAAAGTTACCACCAGATAAATTTTTAATTTTACAAATTAATTTCGAGGATTTAAATTTTTAATTGCATATATCTAATAATAAGTATGATTATGTATGTAAATATAAGTGATTATTAAGAATAAAGAGATCAAGTTTTCTATGAATAAATAAAATATTATCACGTATTTATCACGTATTTATAAATAAATAACCGTTCTACTTTTATACGTGATAAAATATAAATCGCGCTTTGAGAAATCTATAATGTGAACACGTAATAAGAAATTTAGATTAATTTTCTCATGAATTACGTCGAAGCCAGGTATCGGCTTATGCAATAATTATTTTCAACCAACATTTCGTAATTATTTCGTCTCTTGATTTGGACGAGCTAAATGCGTCCGGCATACTGACCTTCTTTAATTTCCTTTCTTGTGAGATCCGCACTGCCTTTCGTCGCACGTGCTACCATATTTGTAAAACCGATGCCCAGGCGCAAAAGCTTGTAATCGTCGTCCGCTGTCAATGGCTCGGGCGTGAGACCGCTCAAATGTAGACATTTCCCTGAAAAGAAGAAGAATAAAATTATTATTTTTAACTATATAAATTAACAGTAAGATCACACAATCGCCGCGCTTGCGAACGTAATGAATTTTATTTTATTTTATTACATTATTTTTCAGATAATTGAAACGCTAATTGAATTCCATTCTATTTTACCGATTTAAAATTTCCGGGGAAAAAAACATTAATAATTTTTTTGAAGTCAGATAACACTTGCAAGTTATTTATTATATATTTCTCTCTCAAACATTTTTCTTATGTTTTCCACGCCTTTCGGGCGTAATAATTTTACATATAGTCGCGGAAAAAAGAAAATTATTTATTCTCACGTGTAGTCGAGTACGTTACATGTGTCACTGAAGCGCGTACATGCGGGCGGCTTTTAAAAATTTTAATGAAATCAACGTCCCCGATATTTTACGCGATCCATTTTTAATTTTAATTGCATAATGTTAAGTATTAAATTGCTTACTTGCGGCGCCATTATTATAACGAAACGTATAATTGCAGTCGTCGCATGAACGGCCAAATGACTTCGCAAAGCTATTGTTCCGCGCGAAATACTCCGTATTTTGTTAATAGGCCGCGCTCGACTATTTATATCCCATTAAATAAACGATCTAAATTTTCTGATAGGCATAATAAAGCCTCGCCCCCCGGCGAAGCTCTCGCGCGGAGATAATGGAATTGTTAGAACAGAAGCGAGCGTATCTATTGTAATAGAAATGACAACCATTGTTGTTTCCATTGTCAATGATTCGCGCCGGTATCATTTTGCGTGGCTTATTAAAATCATCATTGTGAATTTTATCATCACATTTTCTTTTCGAGTATTCCAAATATAATATTTTTATCTGAGGAAAAATTGCTTTTTCATCGATAACGACCTGCATGGAATACAGATTTTAATCCGAGCATCATAAATTTCGTTTATTTTTGTATTCGTTATATATAATTTCTCTGATAATTTAATTATTGCCATTTCGATAAAATGATAGTTTTCGAGTATTGATAACACTAGTGATATTTTACAATTAACTTACGATTTTTACGCGAGGTATATGTAAGATGGAATGATTAATTTAGAATATCGGAAAATCGTTTCCTCCTACATCGAAGTTTCACGGACGCGAATATCGAAAGAGTTTCCGTTTCATCAAGATATAAATTAATCCCACAAGATGCACAATCGATTAGCGGTTAACTTGGTAGGCGACTGTTTGCGTTCGAGTGTTGCAGCAACGTCAATTAGCGTCATGAATCGCAAATTTCCATTGTATAAATAATAAATAGCGCGTATAAATATAGCGTGTACGAATATCACATGGGCGACAATTCGTTCTAAATATTGACGTATGAATGCTTGGCAAATGCGCCGATCGTTTATTTCGTATCGCGAAAACAAACACGCGTACAACGCGACGTTTAAAAGGTACTCGCGCCGGTTTTTCCCGCGATTATGCAGATCGCGGCAATACGTATACGGAAAATTCAAACGATCGTTTTTTTACAATTATCCAAATGAGCAAGTAAATGGCCGTTACGTCACGTAATTCCCAGGGAGTGTTGCAATTTGACGTTTCTCCACGTAAGCAACGCATTGTATCGCCGCATTGTCGTGGTAATTTGACTTTAGGTCGAATGCTACGGCGCGCACTTTGCGCGGCATTTACAAAGGAACAAACGACGGAAAAGGATTAAACAGTTTGGAGGTCAGACGCGCGGTCGGTTCTTTCTACTTTGCCGCATAAAGTTGGATTATGACGCTGCTGGATACGTATAATCGCTCGCCGCTTGCGGAAGTTGATTCGGTGACTACAAATAAATTATTCACGCGCTCGAGTCACTTGATAAACCCTTTATGCCTTGTCACGCCTTCGCTATTTATCGCGTATTATAATCGCTCTTCGATGTTCGGCTTCGATGTGAACCTAAATTCTACGCCGATTAAAATTGAAAAGAAAACTTTTAGTTACAGATGATGCTCGTATAACAATATGTGGGCGACTGTTAAAATTATTTTTATTCAAGAGTATTGTAAAGAGAAAGAGAGAGAGAGAGAGAGAAATCTGTTTTTATAGTGCTTTAAAATGAACAATAAAATTTCTTAGTTATCGCGTAGGCGCGGCTATATTTGAAAGATAATACTAAAAGGAATTAAAAACTTTAAGTACGCGATTGCGCCACATTGAACATATTTAACGAGAAACACCGAGAAGCAATAAGCGTTCCTTTTCCTTCGTTCGTGCGGGAAAAGGGAAAAAGCAGAAGAAAGGAAAAACGGGCCAGATAAATCTTTTACCGTTCACGGTTATGGGCACACACACAGACAGAGAGTCGCGCACACGTGTCGACGTACACGTGGAGACAACACCCCCGGTGGCGCGAAATTACAGTCGTCGCCAAAGTCTATCCCGCGAGCGTTTACTCCCGGCAGCAGATAGAGATTTATGACGCGGCCTCGGGAAATTCTCTCTCGTTGCTTTACTCCAGTGCCACCGACCTACAACGGGCGCGCCGCGCCGCGCCGCGCCGGCACGACCTTGGAGAACTTCGGAACAAAGTTAAACGCTCGTCCGCGGCCGTTGCACGCTTTCCGGCACAACGTGCCCGACCTCCAAGTCCGCGGGAAAAGGTACGAGCCGTACATGTGCATGTGGTACGCGTTACAAAGACGGCCCGACCGCGAATGTTTGCGTTCCTTCTCCGTCAAATAAAAATTAATTTACGCATAATTAGGACAAAGGGAATAAAGGAGAGATCCTACGAGTCGAGGGTATTTTTGCTCTGTGAGTCCGGGCAAATTTTCAATCGCGAAAACATATTCTTGACTGGATTATTTTTTATCTTTCTTCGCCGAAAAATTGCGAATTTCTCCCGAAATGTATACACTGCTGACGAGCAATGTATTATGTAAGCTTAAGTGTACGCGCGGCTTAAAGCTTGCCTCGGCGAAGGGGCGCTTGGGACCATAAGAAGGAGACTAACGGCTGATCGAACAAACTTTATCGGGGAGAAACGCGACCCTCCTCCGTCATTCACGACGCTAACCTAACCCAACTTGACTTCGCTCGACCTTCCCGCCTCGGCGGGTGCTTTATGGTGTTTCGAGCGAGGGTGTGAAAAGTGTGCTCCCTTGTACGCCGATGGAAAGCAAATGCGCCCGTTTCTCGCCGGTCGTCCGTAAATTGTGACTCGTCTCTGATATGGACGTAATCGAGGTGGAACTCGGGTTCCTGCGCGATCTCGGGCGCGACTTTTTTTTTTAGGGTTGGAAAATTATGGTAATTTATGGGAAATTCGAGAATTCTTCGGCCGGAAAAAATAGTTGAGATCGCTCTGTTACGGACGTGATTTTTTTTTAAATTATATATCCGCAAAATAAATGAAATCTTAAGACTTGTTATTACCAACTTGTCGTTGTTTCGACTAATATTAATAATGCTATTCTTTCGAAAGGTGCATTCAATAATATATATGAAAGTAAAATAATGCGGAAACATATTTAAATTTTTCAAACACAAGTTTGATAATATAAATCAGAGGTATAAATAAAATAGAAATGTAAAATACAAAAATACACGAAAGATTTGTCATAAATATAAAAATCGATGTAAATATTTTTCTGTAATGGAACCATTAGTTTTCGCAAATAATTTACGTATATATTTTTAATAATGAATATCTCTGAATCGTGCAACTTGATACATAATCGATATGCGATATATGAAATCTGAAGATAATATTTCCAATCTACCAAACTGAAAATATTCGAATAATTAATTTCAGTATAATCTCTCATTTATTATCACGAATTAATCATATAACTGATATTTGCCGACAGCCATAGAAAATATTAATTGCAACTATGATTCTCCACGGCTCTAATTTCGCATATCTTTACATCTCGTCTCTCGCAATAGTCTCAAATGTGTTTCATTTAATTAAAAATAACGTATCTCAACTTTTCGAATCTAATTAATTCGATCAAGAGGGAGATAATAATTCATCTTAAAATATCGAATCGAATCGGCTCCTGAGAATATCCGCAACAAGTATTTGCTCAACATGATTTAGATTCGAAGTCCATCGTGTCACGACACAACAGTCAAAACTCCGAGATTCTTGCGACGCGCCAACTTTCCCAACTTTCGGACTTTCGTACGTTCGACTTAACTCGCTTTATGGAGTTCCGTATATCAGGAAAAGCGCAACAGGACCTTCCGTATCGCATTTTTCTTCTCGCCCATTTCCACCCCCTGCCTCCGCCACCAGGGGTTCTCCCGTTCTCGTTACGAGAGGCGCGGCGAGTAACGCGCTCGGGAAGAAATATCGTCCTTGATATTTTTCTAATGCGCGGGAGAACCCGACCCTTCTCTCCTTCATTTCCAGACAACGATAATGACACGCGAGGGAGCTGCTCTCGGAGAATCTCGGCCGTCATTTGGCGGGAAATGTACAATTTATTATCTAAACGATCGCTAACTCGTTGCGATTATATGCGTGAACTCCTCGCAATTGCGTAAGATATTGTAACAGCAGTCAAGTAAATGATAAAGTGACCTTTTCTTTAACCTTTGTTCTTATCTATCTCTCCATTAGATTTTCAGATTAGATATTTTTAACGATTAAAAACGGCTTTTCCATGAAATGAGAGAGAAATGTTTTTGCGTTATTATGATATAAAATAAAGCAAATCTTTTTTTCGCAGAGATATATATTAACTCGTCTCACTTTGAACATCTTAATTGACATGGGTGAAATCCGACGACGGGCATTGTTAGTCTCGCGCTTTATCAAATGCATATTTTTTTCGATCGACAACGAGTATATTCGGCTTCAAAACAACGTGAAATCGACACGGACGATATTTCTCGCTCGTCATTCGAATGGTGAGCCGCAACGAACGGCAGCGACTATCGCAAATTTCTCAAACCTCCATTGACCTAGATTTCGCTTCTTTTTTTCCTCTCGGATTCTGAATGAACGCCTGGTTTGAG